GAGGCACCAGGAGGCCACAGGAGGCCACAGGAGGCCCTGGCCTGGGAGGCCACAGGAGGCTCCAGGAGGCCCCAAGAGGCTCTGGAAGGCCCCAGGAAGCACCAGGAGGCCCGTGGAGGCCACAGGAGGCCACAGGAGGAGGCCTCAGGAAACGCCAGGAGGCACCAGGAGGCCCCGGAAGGCCCCAAGAGCCCCCACGAGGCCCCAGGAGAAGGAGCTTCAGAAGGCCACAGGAATGACTTCAATCCCCGGCGATTTACATATGTTTCTATAGATCGGGCCTCGTATGGAGTGCGAATCCTTTGTGTTTACGTACGGTTCTATAAAGTGTCCTTCTCATGAGTATCCACTCCTCAGTGCTTTACATGGGTTCCTATAGATTGGGCCTCCCCTGGGGCACGAGTACTTGGTGTTTTGCGCGTGTTCCTATAGATTACCCCTGTCCTGTGGCTTCAATCCGAAGTGTTTTACGTCTGTTCCTATACATTGGGCCGCTCCTGGGAACGAATCCTCCCCAGGAGACCCCATGAGGATCCAGGAGGCGACTGGAGGCCCAAGGAGGCCACGCGAGGCCCCATGAGTCCACAGGAGGCCACAGGAAGCTCCAAGAGGCCACAAGAGGCCCCAGGAGGCTCCAGGAGACCTCAGGAAGCCCCAGGAGGTTTCAGGAGGCCCCAGGAGGCCCCAGGCTCATACGCAGAGACACGCTAATACTACTGAGGCTCATTCACACTCCAACCCATTCACAGTTAGATTCACTCCCAGACCGTCAATACTCAAGCCCGCTTCTATTCGAAAGCCCTTGCGCCTAGACACTCACGGCGGACAGGTCCATGCTAACGGATGCACACATGGGGAGCTCCAGGCAGTGAGTAATTCCCTGGGAGAAAAAACTCCCTAAACGTATCCAGCCCGTTCAACAAAAAGGGAAAGACATATCCGCCGCGACGACGACGACGACGACGCGACGACAACGACGGCGACGACGACGACTACGAGAACGGCCAGAAAGACGAGCAGGAGCACGAGTAGGCGGAGGAGCAGGAGGAGGAAAGGGGGGAGGAGGAGGAAGAGGAGGAGGAGGAGGAGAAGCAGGAGCAGGAAGAGGAAGTGAATTCCCCACTGAGAGAAACAGGGGGGGTTCTAAAACTAAAGCCATCATGAGACTACATCACATGGTCAGAAACAAAACATCGCGATGATGTTGCACGGCATGCGCGAAAAGCGAGAAACAACTCCCCAAACAGCTACCACCTCGGCCAAACTAGAACGCACATGCTCAATTGCATCATTCTTGCTTGATTCGCCAGCGCTGCGCGACCTGGCCATTCCCGCTGTCAATGGCCGATTAATACTATGGATTGTTCTGTCCTCTTCCTCCTCATCCTCATCCTCCTCCTCCTGTTCCTCCCTCCGTTCCTTCACCGTCCGCCTGATCGTCACCGCTTTACGTGCCTCTCTTCCCCTTCCCTGCTACCCTCCCGCCCTCGTCATGATGGCCCTCCCTGCCCTGCCAGTGCGCACGCACACCTCGCAGGCCACGAGCCGATGCGGCCGGCGGCGCAGAAGTGCGGCAACGACGCGCCCCTTCTCCCCCGTCGTCCACGGCGCTCGCCCGCGGCCCACCCGTGCCCCGCCGACGCAAAGCGGAAGAGCCAGTCGGCATCGTCCAGCGAGGAGGACGCCTCGCGGGCTGCGGGGCACCGTCCGCACCCGCGCGCTGCCCCCGCCCCGTGCCTCCGCCGCCCGCCCGCCCCCTTCGCCCTCTCGCGTAGGAGGAGGAGGAGGAGGAGGAGGAGGAGGAGGAGGAGGAGGAGGAGGAGGAGGAGGAGGAGGACGAGGAGGAGGAGGAGGAGGAGGAGGAGGAGGAGGAGGAGGGGGAGGGGGGGGGAGGGGAGGGGGAAGAGGAGGAGGAGGAGGAGGAGGAGGCGGAGGAGGGGCGCACCTCCTCCCTCCTAATGCCCCAGGCCCGAGGTGCCCCCCAGGATCTCCGAGCGGGGCCCACGGCCTCCCGAGCACCCTTCACGAGGCCCGGGAGGCCCCGGGGTCTCCAGAGTGGAGCGAGCAGCTGGGGGCAACCCTGGGCCAGGGGGGGACCCAGGGCCAGGGCACCTCTAGCAGCCCTTCGCTTGGGGGGGGGGAAGCGGGCCCTGAGAGAAACGGGTCCTGGGCCCTGCGGCCTTTCCCCAGGAGGAGATAGGAGATCTTCGTCCGAAGTCGTTTTCTGTCAGCCCTGGGGCCCGTGGAGGGCCCCGAGAGCCCGAAAGCGGCTAAAAGCCTGAGGACCCGTTTCCCTCCGGACCCGTCTCCCCCATGGCGAAGCCCCCTACTTCCCCATCTGCCGAATCGGGGTGCCGGGTCGGGAGGTCTGGGGGGACAGCAGCCCGAGGGCGGCCGGGAGAGGAGCCCTCTTCGGCGTGACTCCGTCCTGCCTCCGCACTCGGTCCCCGTCGGAAGCATCTCAAGTGAGAGGCCTCCTCCTACTCCCCTCCTTCCTGCCCTCCTCACCTCCCGCCTCCTGCCATGCGTGCCCCATTGAGACCCGTTGTCGCAGTCAGAATCATCCCGTAGATTGGGCTCAGAGAGGCAAATCTTGACGAGCCATTAGGTTCCTTTGAGCTGGCACACTCCAAACTTCTTGATCGCCCATTGGGAGGTTCACGTTGATTTGTTTGGTTAAATGATTCCAAAATCTCGAATGTGGGATCGACTGAACCTGATCTTTCCAAGCATCATCTCTCCTACCCAGAGCACCCGACTTGTACTCAGTCTCGCCTGCCTTGGCTGCGCCGTTTCCAGCGCACCAGCCAAAACCTGCACATGTAGCGTTGCCAAACTCAACTTCTTCTGCCATAACCAACGGCCGTTTTGCTCCTCCATCTGCAGCAGCGCAGGTTCAACTGAAGACAACAACACTGAGTCCGAGGCCATGTAAAACAAGTACATATACTGATTCAAAACTCGAGGCACCCAGTGGCGAGCCGAATCACAATGAGCGTATAGATGAACGAAAGCCCCGTCGGACACAAATTCAATTCGTGACACTGAGAGCCCGAAGGGAACTATTCATGCAATATGTTGGTGCACGTGTCTTCCAACCTCCTACTGAACGGCCAATGATGCCAAAGATGCAATCATCTCTCTGCAGCCGCGCGTGATGCATCCTACTTCGAAATCAGCGGAATCATAGTTGCTGGCACTTTTGATGCGAATATCTAATGTGTGCCAAGTAATGCTCACATGCTCTCAAGTTTATCCAGATAAGCTTGGTATTGTTCAGGTCGCGAAGCACTGCTCTTCAAGTTCAACCATGGCTCAACAGGAGTAACCCCATAGGTGGCACAATGCGACGGCACGCGCAACGCGTTGTGCATGGTCGCCACATGAAATGCACAACAAACCATTGCAGCCCGAATGAGTTCCCGCATCGTTGTGCAAGCAAATGGTAAACCACGGTGATCTGAATATAAATACCAACCTGATCCGCAATGGATACGGACCATCCCCGAGGACAGCCCACGTCGTACGTACGGCACGGTGTTCGAAAGCTAGACGAAGTTGAGACATAATAAACGGCGTTTATCCCCCCCGCAGCCTCCTTCGCACATCGTACATGCCCCGCCCCATCCAGTGTTGGATATGCAGCCGAGAATGCAATGAGAAACTAAATAATTGTGGGTGCCGAGGTGCTCGGGATCGCTGGGTCTTGTGAGGCGTTGGCCAATCCTCATCAATCACCATGCTCTGGCTCCTCCGCACCTTCCGCCACCGCCACCAGCCACCACCAGTGCAACTACCGTCGCCAGCGCCACGCAACTCTATAGCCACCAGGCCTGGCCCTCTCCATCTCTCAATCTGCAGAATCGATCCCCGCTCGCCCTGCCTGTGCCACCCACCGCCCCACCTTACCAACCTGGATCCCGAAACAATGCATACACCGCTCAATGTCCCACCAAAATGGTCGGAAAAAGCTATTCAAAACTCACCCTGCGCCAACAGCCGCACCCGCCCCAGCTCCTCCTCTCTTCTTCTCCTCCTCCTCTTCCTCCTCCTCCTCCTCCTCCTCCTCCTCCTCCTCCTCCTCCTCCTCTGCATCCTCCTCTGCATCCTCCGCCTCCTCCGCCTCCTCCTCCTCCGCATCCTGCACCTCCACGTCCTCCTCGACCTCGTCATCCTCTTCCACCCCTTGTTCCGCTGAGTCCCTCCAGTTCTCGCCTCCCGCCGGGTCCAGTGTCTTCTCGAGGCGCTTAGGGGGGGCTCCCACTTCTGCCGCGGGCTTGGCTTGTAGCAACTATTGGATGGGGGGACTGTACAAATGTGTCGAGCAGGGCTAAGGTTGCGGTACACGGTGACCGACGTCCTGTCCTCTTGTCCTGGTGCGTTGCATGTCCTCCCGGGCAGGTGATCAGGTAGCCGCCGCTGCTGGCCTGGGCACGCGCCGACCGGTGTCGTTCATGACTCTTGACTCACGCATGCTTGTTGTCATGGGCAGGTCCTCAATCCAGATTGTTCGCGTGGCACCGCATGTGTTTGCTGGTGCTGCTGGGTGTGGTATGGTGTGGTCTATTGCGCTAAAGGGGCACCCTATGGGTCTGTAGCGCGTGTGGCCATCTAGACATTCCTTGTTTGTTCCAATGTCCTCGTTTCGTGATTGTTGCTTGCTTTATCAATCATTCGAGTCTCGCCGCAATGCCAATGCACTAGTTCAACGCACTTTGACTAGTGATTACCAATGCACTAGCTTGTATGGGTGCCATTTGTTTTGTCGCATGCGACGGCAGGGTGGCAACTTCTGCTGGGCTGATGTTCGTGATACGCGGTGGGTGTGCTTCGCTGGGCATGCTGGGCTTAATCATACCATACTGTGTTAAGTACATATGGCAGTCAACCCCTGCGGGCGGCGTCCATGCCGCTTCCTCGGTTGTCTTCGTGTGCCCGACTCACGCGAACAACTTGAGGCCGTTCGTGCCTGCCGCTACAGGCGGGCAGGCACGAAGGCCTCAAGTTGTTCGTGCGACTCGTGCACGCAACCTTCTCTCCTTCCCTGTATGACATCGTCACTGGCCCCATTCCCCCACCGGCAACCTTACGTCTGAAGGCCCTGTCGACAACATCTCATTGGATCATTGGGCCCGGCCACGGCCACTCCCAAATGGGCGCCTTTGACTTCGTCAGGCCGGCCTGCTCACCAGAGTGGGTCTGGAATAGATGCTCCTGGACCGCTGAAAGGGAACGACGCGGGAGGAAAGGGGAGGCAGGGAACGGGGAAGGGGACGACAAGGAGGGAATGAGGAGAGATGAACAGGAAAGAACGAACGAGGACGGAACACCGAGGAGCGAAGACGGAGGAGGGAGAACGAGAGAAGGATGGGAAAAAAGAGGGAAATGAGAGAGTGAGAGAGACGGAGGGGGCAAATTGGGCGCGCGCTCGCGCAATATCGGACGTCCAACCCCTTCCTCCCATCCCAATACATGGCGGCGAATCCCTCTCTATCGCAGAATCGGGTGTTGGGAAAGGCCTTGATCCCACAGGGCAACTTACTCGAAAAGGGCCGTGACTCCTGGAGGTCCAGAGCTTGGAAAGCATGAAGAAGGCGGAGGGCGGAGGGGCACACACTGCATCGGGAGCACACGGAACGCCGATGCAACAATACGGCCACGGCTGCAACGAGACCGTCGCTCCCTTGGACGGAAGATCGACGGAAACCTGACCGGACAAGAACGGGAAGCGTAAAAAACATGTATGCATATATATATATATATATATATATATATATATATATATATATATATTACATACATACATACATACATACATACATACATACATACATACATACATCCATACATCCATACATACATACATACATACATACATACATGCATACATACACACATACATACACATACACATATTACATTTACATCTGCGTGTGCGTTTAATTGAACAAATAATATTGTCGAGCACATCAAAAAAAACTGTAAACGAAACACGGGCGATCAACTGAACTGCTTTCGATTCGTTGTGATGGTTTGCAATGCTCCTGCGGTCTGCCGTGTTCCTGTGGTCTGCCATGCTCCTATGGTTTGTTGCACTATTGTGGTACGCCGTACTGACATGCCGTGTTGGTCTGCCGTGCTGCTGTGGTCTGCCGCGTTGGTCGCCGCGCTAATATGGTCTGCCGCGCTGGATTGCCATGCTCCTGCGGAATGCCGCGCTGGTCAACCGCGCTAATATGGACTGCGCACTGGTCTGCCATGCTCATGCGGCCCGCCGCGCCACCTTGCAATGCTTACATGGTCTGCCGCGCTGGAGCTGGAACTGGAACTGCGGGGGGCTAAAGACCGAGAAAAAAAGAAAGAGAGAGAGAGAGAGACAAAAAAATAGAGGGAGAGAGAGAGAGAGAGAACCAGACAGAGAGAGAGAGAGAGAGCAAAATAAATGAACTAACAAAAAAATGCAATCGAAAAAAAAAAAAACTTGGGCCCCACACCAGGGCCCACAAGGCCCCACCCACCCAAGGGGCCCAGCATGGGCCGGGACAGAACCACAGAACTCCACGGGGCGCGACAGCGCCTCGCATGACCTTCTAATTCTGCGGAGGCCCGCTGGAAGCGCTGCCGCCTCGACAGGCGGGCAGCGCAGAGTCCTTGCGCGAGCGGCCAACCGCCGCCGCGCGCTCTCCACCCCCCAGCTTACTCAGGGGAGCCCACGAGGCGTTTCCGCTTGCACTCCTCCGCCGCCGCGACCTCCTGCACCCAGTCGGCCAGGCCGCCCTCGTCCAGGCCGAACGCCAGCACGGCCTCTGGGCGGCAGATGGCGGCCTCGGCCGCCCCGATGGGAGCCGCCGCCGCGGGACGGCGCGCCGGGGGGGCGGCCGCCCGCAGCCCACCCGCCGGCGACGAGCTCGACGCGCGGGAGGTGACCGCCCCCCCCCCCCGCCCCCCTCGCGGCCAGCGGGCGCGTCACTGGCGACGCCCATCTCTGACGGCCTTTTTCTTCCCTCTGCGGCCGCCTGGGCGCAACCCCCGATCCCAGAGGCCGAGCTGGTCGCGACCGCCCTTGCCCTTGGGCCCCCTGGGAGGGCAGCCCAGCTCCGCGCGCAGCTTTGGCCCTCGGCCCCCGTCGATGTCAGCGCAGGCGCCGCGGCGGCTGCAGCTGATCAGGCGCCCCGCGGGCCATCGCCCGCGCCGCCGGCCAAACCGCAGCCCGGGCAGCGGCCCAGCGCGATGAGCGGCCCCGCACCCCAGCCGAGGCCTGCCGCCGCAGACGCCACGGAGCGCTCACGCTTGGGCGCGAACCTAAGGGCGGCCACCTCCGCGGGGCGAAAGCTCAAGTCGTCGTCGAATGTCACCTCAGGCCTCCTCCTCCTCCAGCCCCTCATGGAAGCCCTGCGCGTCGCGCGGGCCCTGCTGTATCAGGATGGAGCCCTGGGCTATCCACCGCGCCAGCTCCGCCGCGACCAGCGCGAAAGCCTTGAAGAGGACAGCGAGGCAGCATGCAGCGAGGCCCCGAGCTCGGCGCATATGTCCGCAGACCTGCTGCCACGCCACTCCTGCTCTGAGACACGCCCCTCCTGCACCCGCGCCCACGCCAGGCGAGCGGGCACCTCGGGAAGCTCGTAGTCCTCGGGCCCGAAAACAACGAAGAACCTGCTCCAGAGGCGGGCGCCAGGTCGACCAATGCCAGCGGCGCACTGGCGCCCTCGCCTCAGGCAGGAGACCGTGGACGCGCAATCGACGCGCAGGATGTGCCTTCCAGGCCCCGCGACCTCCGCCAGAACCCAGCAGGCGAAATCCCCGGCGTTCTTGGCCGCCTGCTGTGGGCACGGGTCGGCCCTCACCGTGCCGTGGCAGGCTGCCTCCAAGGTTCTCGCTGACCCAGTAGATCGCCCATCCAGATCGGCGCGTCGCCACGCGCGTCGGTTCGAGCGCGGACCCGCCCAGGAACAGCCGCCCACACTGAAATCCGGCACCAGGCCTGGTCTGCCGTGCTGGTCTGCCGCGCTGTTGTGGTCTGCCGTGCTGGTCCGCCATGATAAAATTGTTTGCCATGCTGGCCTGCCGTGCTCTTGTGGTCCCTCGCGTTGGTTTGCCGTGCCCCCGCGGCCTGCCGCGCCCCCGTGGCCCGCCGCGCCTGGATGGGTCGGCGCGCGGGGTCCCAGTGGCAAAACATGAAACAAGCGCGTTAGCCCATGCGACCGAGCAGCAGGGGAGGGGGGGCCTTCGGGCGCACAGGGGCTGAGACCGACAGGCCCCGACCCCCCAACTCCAGAACACCGCCGGGGCGAGCGCGGCACGGCCCCCACACGGCGGCGACCGCCGCCCAGGGTCGGCGCCCGTCCTCGAGACGCCGGGCGCGCCCCGACGCAGTCGGGATGGCGCCGGGCGGGCGCGCGCGCGGGAAAGCACCCGCCCTGCAAATGCAAAGGGGAACCACTCGATCACCTTTGCTCTCAAGGCGGCCGACCTCGCGGGCCCCGAGCCTCTGCTGCCGCAGAATTCACCGCTGGGGCCCCTTCTGCGCGCCAGGCGGGGGCGACCCTGGCGCGCCGCGGCACTGGACGCCGCCGCCTCGGCCCAAACTGCCAAGACGCTCTCGTCGCGGCCGAGGGCGGCGAGTCTCGCCGCGTCGCCGCAAGCCACCGGCGCCGCGGGCGGCCCCGCCCAAGCTCACTGGCGCGGAGCCTCCATGGGAGACGGGATCAAAGCCGAGCCCCCATCGCCCTCAGCCGCGACGGGGGAGGCACGACTTCCTCCTGGGACGGCAGGAGGCCCCCCGCGATCATTATCTTCTCCACCAGGCTCCCCAATCCAGGCCAGACAGCGGGGCCTGTCCTCCTCGAACCTGGGCGCGATGGCGAGCCGCCTCTCGCCCCTCGATTTCAGGCGGCCGCCTGGGTGGAACACGCGATCCCAGAGGCTTCTTCTGGCGTCTGCCACTCCAGCTGGGGCATCCTGCAAGTGGCGTCGCGGCACCCTCGCCACCCGCGCCTCCTTCCGCAGCCGCATCGGCGTCTGCCCGCGCCGCCATCGCCAAGGCGACCGCCGCCGCCGCAGCGGCTGCGCCGCCGGCCAATCCCGCAGCCCAGCGGCCGCCGCTGGCCCCAGAGCTGTCGGCACAGAACGAGTCGTTCTCGGTCGGGTTGCTACGGTTCGACATGTTCGGCCCCCCTGGCTGGCTGCCGCCCAAGCGTTGTGGCGGCCCGCCCAGGGGCGCGCCCCCGGGTGGGCCTGGACGCCGCCGCCGTCATCGACCACCCTGGTCAGCCGCCCACGCCTAGCGGCAGGCTGCTGGCAGCGGCTCCGGGACTGGGCCGCTGCCGCGCCCAGGGGCCCCTGGGCGTCGCCTCACCGAGGATCGCGCTGGCCGCCCGCGCTTCAACCAGCAGCTGCTTCTCCTCGTCGGCCCGCGCTCCCCCAATGAGGTGTTGCACTCGCTGCCGGCGCCGGGGGCGGTCGCACCTTGCTCGCTGCCACGCGCGCTCGCAGATCTCCCCCGCCAGGCGCCCGCGCCCCCTGGCCGCCGGGTGAGCCGTCAGCCCGACGCAGCGGCCCTCCATCTCGCCATATTGGAGCATCGCTGCGACGCGGGCCACGCACTCAAGCACCCAGCGGCGGCGAGCCATCTCCTCGCCGACAGGCCCGAGATGCACAGCCCACCTCCTCGCGAGCATGACCATACGGTCCTCGGACTCGCGCGATCTAGCTATGGACCACAACACAAGTTCGGCCTCGCGGCGCGGCGCGGGCTTGCGCCGCGCCTCGCAGGGCACGCACCCCTTGACACCTCGGCGGCCCGACACCGTGGAGCTGGTACCGATGCTGACCTTCTGGATCGCGGAGCCGACGTCGGCGCGCAGCATCCAGCCCGCGACGCCCTCACAACCCCCGGCTGCCCGCGGCGGACACGCGTCGCACCCGACCGAAACGAGGCACCGAGTCGCCGTCGCCGTCGTCATCCTGGAGCTGGCCAAAGGAGAGGTACAAGGCTGAGTCGAGCAGGCACCGCGCCGCCCCCTCAACCTCCTCGCCACAGTGGATGCCACGACAATGGACACCCTAACAGTCCAATCATTGAATGCAACATGCGTTTTCAATGCCGGAAATGTTCTAAGCATGATTTAAACATGTTCCTTACACGTCAAAAACATGTTTAACACATGTCTTAGACATCTGGAATATGTTTGGCAACATGCTTCCGTTCATCGCTC